GTTGATTTTGTGAAATAGTGGAGCTAAGACCGTTGAATTCATGTGGTAATGGTGACTCTATTTGGATTGTGTTATGGACTCGTGTATCGAACAGGGTGCTCGTGTGAAAAATGAAATGCAATTGGTCCTCCATGTCAAAATCATTAAATCTTAAACATGGGGTAAGCCCAACGTGTGCGGCACCGTTCATTGTACAAAATCGGGTTTTGGAAGAGATTTTAGTGATCCTTATAGGGGAGGAGGAAGATGTGTTTGAGTATCTTTATGCGACCCCAGAGGAAAAAGTACAATATGTTGTTTTTCTCCTAAAGGGGTACGCGAGGAGCTGGTGGTCCTTAGTCTCTAGAGTTAACGGGGAACGAGTTCAGTTCACATGGGAGGAATTCTTGAAGGCCTTTAAGACAGATTTTCTTCCCGAAGCTTTTATCAGGGCAAAGAATAATGAATTCACCAACCTTAAGCAGGAGAACATGACAGTTACTGAGTATACCATCAAGTTTGTTCGACTACTCTACTTTGAAGATGGGTTGGCGGATATTGAGCATAAGAAGAAGATGAGATACTTACATGGTCTGCGCCTAGGATTGAAAGAAAAGATCCAAAGGGTTGATGAAGAGAGTATGGCCAATATCAAGGAGGCAGCACTTAAGTATGAAGCCTATGAAGTTGAGGGTAGAGAGGAACACAAGGCCAAAGAAGAGGAGAAGAAGAGGAAGTTTGGAGTGAGTTATTCCGGACCTCGTTACCCATCCAAGAGAGGTCCTAGCGGGTTTGGGAGAACACCGAGTCAATCTATGTCAGGAACATCATACAAGGCACTAGTTTCCTTAGCCACACCGGCTCCAGTTTGTCAAGTTTGTCAAAAGAGACACTTTGGAGAGTGTTGGAGGTTTTCTGGAGTATGCTTTCAATGCGGCCAGCCGGGTCACATCATGAGGAACTGTCCTTATAGGGGAGGAGGAAGACCTACTCAATCCGAACCTTCAGTGCACTTTAGTAGAGCCCCAGCCAGAGGTGGTTACCAGGGAGGCCGTAGTGGATTTCAGAGTGGTCGCGGTGGTTCACAAGGTGGTAGAGGTGGTGGTCCAAATCAGCCATCAGGAAGGGGTACTCAGGGTGCAGGAACACAGGGAGAACCGAGGGTTTATGCAATGACTCGAGGTGAGGCAGAAGTGGCACCAGAAGTTGTGACTGGTATGCTTTCTATCCTTGGCAAGCAATTATGTACGTTTGCACATATGCTACGCTTAGTTCCAGATAAGCTAGGTTATACCTTATGTGTTAAAACACCTGTGGGAGATACCTTGAAGGTAGACTCAGTTATTAGAAGTTCCTTCATTTGTGTGGAAGGAGCTTTCCTAGCAGCAGATTTAATTCTGCTACCTTTTGAAGAATTTAATGCCATCCTTGGAATGGACTTTCTGGCAACACATGGAGCTGTTGTGGATTGTCAAAAGAAAGAAGTGTTATTCAACACACCAGATAAAGGTCCTGTTGTATTTCGAGGCATTAAGAAAAAGGAGACTCATGGTTTTCTTTCTGCCTTGGAAGCTTTTCGATTAGTGAAGGAAGGTTGTGAAGCCTTTCTTGCTGAAGTTACTGTGGTAAATGATAAGAAGGTTGAGGATGTAGAGGTGGTAAGGGAGTTTCCTGATGTATTCCCCGAAGAGCTTCCCGGCCTTCCACATGAAAGGGAAGTAGAGTTTGATATTGAATTGGTACCTGGAACAACACCAATTTCAATGGCACCATATAGAATGACACCAATTGAGCTGAAGGATCTTAAAGAACAATTGCAAGAATTGCTAGACAAGGGGTTTATTCGACCTAGCATCTCACCTTGGGGTGCACTGTTTTGTTTGTCAAGAAGAAAGATGACTCCATGAGAATGTGCATTGACTATCGGAGGTTGAATAAGGCGACAGTGAAGAATCGTTATTCCCTTCCAATAATAGATGATTTGCTTGATCAATTGCAGGGTGCATCAGTCTTTTCTAAGATTGATTTGAGGTCTGGATACCATTAAATGAAAGTGGCAGATGGAGCGACCTCAAATACAGCTTTTAGAACAAGATATGGGCATTATGAGTTCCTGGTAATGCCTTTTGGAGAACAATTCTAATGTCTTTTAGAACAAGATATGCGCATGCCAGCGGTATTTATGGCTCTTATGAACAGAGTTTTCCATGAATATCTTGATAAGTTTGTGATTGTGTTCATAGATGATATTCTCATCTATTCTAAAAGCAAGGAGGAGCACAAAACTCACCTTAGAATTGTGTTGCAAATTCTAAGGGAGAAACAATTATATGCAAAATTCTCAAAATGTGAGTTTTGGCTGAAGGAGGTAATATTTCTGTGACATGTAATTTTTGGAAGAGGTGTCAAGGTGGATCCGAAAAAGGTGGAAGCAGTGGTGAGTTGGGCTCCACCAAAAGATGTGTCTGAGTTGAGAAGTTTTCTTGGCATGGCGGGTTACTATCGGCGGTTCGTAGAAGGATTTTCTAAAATTGCTGCACCATTGACTTAACTATTGAGGAAGAATACCAAATATGTTTGGGATGAATCATGTCAAAAGAGTTTTCATGATCTGAAGAAGAAATTGACCACAACACCAGTACTGGCTTTACCTTCAAACCATGGAGAGTTTGTGGTGTATAGTGATGCCTCGTATCAAGGATTGGGTTGTGTGTTAATGCAAGATGGAAGAGTTATTGCATATGCCTCTAGGAAATTGCGTCCTCATGAAGTAAATTATCCTACTCATGACATAGAATTGGCAGCAGTGGTATTTGCTCTCAATATTTGGCGACATTATTTGTATGGTGAGACTTTTAAAATCCTAACTGATCACAAAAGCTTGAAGTATATTATGGATCAGATGGATTTAAATAGTCACAGAGGAGATGGATAGAGTTGTTGAAAAATTATGATTGTACCATTGATTACCATCCAGATAAAGCTAATGTAGTTGCTGACGCTTTGAGCAGAAAAGGCAAGAAGAATATAACGGATCTGGTTGATTTGAGGGCAATAAATGTGGATTTGGAAGTGGATGGTGTAACAAGGTTACTAGCTCGGTTAAACATTCGACCTTTGTTGCACGACAAAATTTGTGAGAAGCAGAAGGAGGACTCAGAGTTGGCAAAAATCATTCAAGACATTGAGGAAGGAAAAGTAAGCCCATTTGAAATGGTGGATGGCATGTTGAAGATGAATGGAAGAGCATGTGTTCCTAATGTTGATAACTTGAGGAAAGAGATCCTAGATGAAGCTCATTCTTCTGCTTATGCTATGCACCCAGGAGCAACTAAAATCTATCACACGATCAAACCATATTTTTGCTGGCGTTGGATGAAAAAGGAAGCTGCTGAACGTATTCACATGTCTGGTATGTCAGAAAGTTAAGGCAGAACATCAAGCTCATGTGGCAAAATTGCAACCACTTCCAATTCCAGAATGGAAATGGGAAAGAATCACAATGGATTTTGTATATGGTCTCCCATCATCAAAGGGAAAAGATGCAGTATGGGTTATTGTGGACCGACTAACCAAATCGGCTCACTTTTTACCCATTAGGTGGAAACCATCACTGGAGACCTTGTCTCAACTATTTATTAAGGAGATCGTCAGATTGCATGGTGTGCCAATTTCTATTGTCTCTGATCGAGACCCGAGCTTCACATCTCGGTTTTGGAAAAGTTTACATGATGCCTTGGGAACTAAACTGCATTTTACATCAACTTATCATCCTCAAACAGATGGGCAGAGTGAACGAACCATCCTAACTTTGGAGGAATTACTTCGATCATCTGTAATGCAATGGGAGGAATCATGGATTGACCTTTGCCCCTGATTGAATTTGCTTACAGCAATAAGTACCATAGTAGTTTGGGTGTTCCACCATATGAAGCACTTTATCGGAGGAAATGTAGGACACCATTATGTTGGGATGTAGAAGGAGCAAGGCAAATCTCATGACCAGAGATAGTTCACATCACAGTTGATAAGGTCAAGGAAATCAGGGAGTGTTTGAGGGTGGCTCAAGATCGACAGAAATTTTATGTTGACACGAGTAGGCGTGAAGTTAATTTCGAAGTGGGTGAGAAAGTATTTCTCAAAATGTCACCATGGAAAGGGGTGATGAGATTTGGTAAGAAAGGGAAATTTGCACCTCGATATATTGGACCATATGAAATCACAGAGAAGATTGGACCAGTGGCTTACAAGTTGGCATTGCCTCCAGAACTATCTCAAATCCACAATGTATTTCATGTTAGTATGATGAAGAGGTACAAAGTAGATCCTTCCCATGTTATACAACCAGAGGAGATCGAGTTAGGCCCAGATTTGACTTTTGAGGAGGTTCTAGTTTAGATTGTTGATCACCAGATTAAGACTCTTCGCAGGAAAGAAATCCCAATGTTGAAAGTGGTGTGGAGATATCAGGATAGCGAGAGTGCTAAATGGGAAACTGAAGCAAGTATGCGGAAGAAGTACCCTGAGTTAGTAGCAACCTACTTTACAGGTTAACAATCTTACTTAGTAAGTTATGTTTTGAACTTGTTGATGTGCTTTTGTTGTGATAGCCCAGTATAGGTTTTTGAAACCTAAACATGGGAACTTGAGTTGTTATGTGTTACTTTCTATGTTGTGAATCACCTAACCTAAGAGTTAGGTAATGGTTTATCTACGATAGACCATGTCAAGGGTAAGTAAGCGGACTAAGGGTACAACTTAAGATTAGATTTCAGGAACGAAATCTTTTAAGGAGGGGATAATTGTAACATCCCGTTCCCGAAAAACCCATATTTCGATCGCTAGAAAGTTCGCGATTTAAAATCGAGCGTTTTGATAGTATTTCGTCGAAAATCGGATTATCGATCGATCGGATAAGTATACGTATTAATTATATATATATATATATATATATATATATATATATATATTAATAAGCGGTCGGCATATAAATATGCCCGCTCCATTATAATTCCCATCCATTTCTTCTTCTTCTCTCATTTCGGTTGAGAGAAACGGAGAAGCAGAGCTGCACGCAGAGCTCCGGGGAAAAAATTTTGTAGCTCGATTCTTGAGCTACACTGATCCAAAAATCCCGTAAGTAATGCCTAATTCATCTATACATCGTGATTTATCGATTTAGAGCTTTAAAACGAGTTTTTGGATCAGGAATTTCTTGAATTCACGATAAGCCAAATTAGGTTTTCGGAGTATCCGGAAGCTGGATTGAGCCCAAATTTCAAATACGAGCTTCCTACACCGAGATAATCAATCCTCTAGTTTTAATCCATGAATTTCGGCTATTATTTAGGTCGAAGCCGGGATCGCTGAATTTAGCTCCGGCTAAGGTTTGATGTGTTTTTATCAAGAATTTGACCTAGAGCCTAGAACGAATATTGATGGGGATACTGCAGGGAATATTAGGACGGTCTCGGATTTTAATTCGGAGTTCGTTCGTAAAATTGACGTTTTAGTACGAGAAGCTAAAACCGGTGTTTAAACGACCAGAACTGGTGAGGGATTAGCACGGCATACCGGTTTTGTCGTATAACGATAATTATATTGATGCTTAGAATTGACCTAGGTGAACTAGAATGGCATGATTAAGGGCGTATGAACTTTTGTGCTATATGATGAACCATGGACTACTGTATGATATTATTGACTTGCCCTAATCGAGATGGACCGTGTTTATTGATAGACCGTTAATTACACATATTTTTACCCTTGTTCTTACACCGTTTGAGGTGTTGATTCTCGTGTTTTAGGCTGATTTCACGCTAGGTTGTGCTTGTTTGTCATATTTCAGGTCCTAGTACGTGAATGGAGGCTTGGGAGCGAGTTTGGGGTCGATTGGACGAAAATCAGACGCGTGGCGAGGTGCTAAGGAAGCTGCACGGGCATTCCTGGACATCACACGGCCGTGCAACTCACATTTGTGGCCGTGTGATTTTCGTCGAGAGCAAGCACGGGCAGGATGGAAATCCCGCACGGCCGTGCGGGAAGCCTGAAGATCGAACTAATTGATACGCCGCGTTTTGACTCGCACGGGCAACTGGGTGAGCCACACGGCCATGTAGCCTGCCCGTGCGAGTCGGGAAATCTTGGTTTTTCACCAATTTCGAGCCACAAGGGGGGAATCGGACTTTTTGAGCAAAAACAGAGCCCTATAGAGAGAAAGTACGAAGAACACATCCTAGAAGCTATCTTGGAGCTGGGTTTCAAGGAATCGAGCTTGGAGATCGTCCTAGGAGTGGAAATCATCATCCCGGAGCAGATTTTCCTCATCTTTATGAGTATGACTACTCCGATTACTGTTTTCTTCTCTCTCTCTATGGAGTAGAACCCCTCTTTCACTTGGGGATGAAGAACCCTAGTTCTATGCGTTAGGGATGGATTGTAATGACTTGGGATGATATTACTGTTTGATTTTAATCGAATGATGCATGTTTATTGAGTCAATTGAAGTCTGATCAACTTTTCCTGATTCCTGCTGCAATCTGAGATAGATAGAATCTGATTAGGTTGCTAGAGTCTCATCATTCGGTAGTAGGAGATTGGCTATACGAGAGTTAGTCAGTTTACTGCTTTGTACTGGAATCTAATTCCAGTAGTGGAGTTCTGTTCTTACTGCTTCAGCTTTCTATCCCGGTGAAGACTAGTCGTCTGCCGGGTAGTTAGACTGAGAGGGCTTGGTCAGCTTAAGAGATTCCAAGCTACTGTCGGATCTTCCGCAGTCTAATCAATAGTAAATCAACCCAGGGAATTGCAATTGAACCTAACTAAGGAGCTAGGGGGACTCATTCCCGAGTGACTCTTACCTGCTTGAGAAAACCGTACCAATTCCTGCTTTCTTTCTGCTTTTGCTTTTAAACAACAATCACTTACTTTAGTTGGCTAGATAATAGATAATCACTGAGTAAGCAGTAGATCTAGACCCCCGGTTGATAATATCACTTGTCACTTTACTGCATTCCCTGTCTGCGATTACACTTGGTCGCAGATTGGTGTTGTGTTTTAGCGTGACAAGTTTTTGGCGCCGTTGCTGGGGACCCTCTAGGTTATTGGGGAAACGTGTGAATTTGTTACTCTAGCTTTTTCTTTATTGCATTTTATCTCTTCCACCTGTGTGCCTTCACGGGTTGTTTCTGCTGATTGTGTGCAGGTAGTGCATGACCCGTAGCCAGTCGGGAGATCTACTACCACTAGACCAGGAGCTTGAACGAACCTGCAGAAACTTCAAGCGGGCTCTAAAGGCGCGACTGGCTGCGGAGGAGGCGCTAGCACAGCTACAGATCACTGAAGAGGAGGAGATGGCTGATCCACAAGACCATGATGTGTTCAATCCTGGGGAGCAGACCATGGGACATTACTGGACCGCCAGGGCTGCAGACATGAGGTCACCCATTCAACACCCTCATGTCCCAGCCAATAATTTTGAGGTGAGCACCTCAGTAATCACCATGCTGCGCGGTTCGGTGATGTTCCGTGGCAAAGAGGGGGAGTGCCCCCGATCACATCTCAGGCGATTCCACGAGCTCATCGATAGAATCAAGATCAACGGGGTCCCAGCAGATGCCATCCAGCTGAGGTACTTCTCATTCACCCTGGAGGGGCAGGCCAAGGAGTGGCTAGACACTCGACCTCCGGGCTCCATCACCACGTTCGCCAACCTGGCGGACAAGTTTCTCACCTGCTACCATCCTCCGTCCAAGACGGCGGACTTGCAGAAGCAGATCACCCACTTCACTCAGGATGAAGATGAGACCATCATGGATACTTAAGAGAGATACAACAGTCTCTTCCTGAGGTGTCCCAATCATCGTTTCAACGATGCTTTCAAGGTGGGAACCTTCTATCATGCCCTCTTCCCAGAAGATAAGCAGCTGATTGACTCAGTTTGTGGCGGGAACATGCTGACAAAAACACCGCCACAGCTGAATCAACTCTTTGAGGAGATGGCAGAGAACAGGTATGATTGGGGCACTGCGAGGAGGTCGAGGAGAGCACCAAGCCGAGGTGTACATTCTGTGGGAAACCATTCCTCTGATTTGGTGCAGGTGGTGTCAAAGCTGGTTTCAGCTATCGACCGTTCCGGGATGATTCCAGGGACCGGACAGCAGCAGGCGATGCTCTGCCAGTGGTGCGAGAGCACCCATCATACAGTGGAAGTCTGCCAAGCGATGAAGGAATCGACCACACCCCAGGAGCAGGTGAACTTCATCAATAATGTCAGGCGCAATGACCCCTACAGTAACACCTACAATGAGGGGTGGCGCCAGCATCCCAACTTCTCCTGGGGTGGGGCAAATCCCAGACCACCAGTCCACCAGGGACCTCCGGGCTTTCAGAGGCCACCATATCAGCCCAGACATGGGCAATTCCAGCAGCAGCAGCAGTCTCTCTACCAGCCCATGCAGGGGCATGCTGCTCCATCACAGCCGCGACCTTTCCAGCAGCCAGTTGCAGCCCCTGCCGCCCCAGTGCAGAATGATCAGATGGCTGAACTGCGGGAATTGGTGGGTTCTCTCGCCAGTTCTAGTGCTCAAAAATTTAACACTATCGGGCAGTTCATGGAAAAGGCATCGAGTAAATTCCTGGATCTTGAAGCTGGCCAGAGGAACACACAGGCTCTCTTGCAGGATATCCAAACCCAGCTGGGGAGTGTGGCTCAAGCAGTGGCACAAAGGGCTCCTGGTACTTTGCCCGGTCAGACCATCCCTCACCCTCAGAACCCGAATGAGCACTGCAATGCCATCATGACCAGGAGTGGCAAGATGACTGTTGACCCACCTGCTCGGGCACAAGAGAGAGAGTCCCCTGCCTCGGCATCTCCAGCAGCTGAAGAAGAAGCAGAGAAGGAGGTTGAGGTGCCTGCACCTAAACCGCAACCGGTAGTGAAGGAGTATATCCCTAAACTCCCCTTCCCTACTCGGCTGCACAAAGACAGGCTGGAGGCAGAGTTCGAGATCTTCATGGCCATGCTTAGGAAGCTGAATGTCCAAGTACCTTTCCTGGAGGCACTATCTCAAGTGCCTATGTATGCGAAGTTCCTGAAGGATCTTCTCTCAAAGAAGCAGAAGCTGAGCGAGCTAGCCACTGTGGAGCTCAGCGAGGAGTGCTCGGCCATTCTGCAGAACAAGCTTCCGCAGAAGCAGAAGGACCCAGGTAGTTTTACTATCCCGTGCTCTATAGATAATTTGCATGTAGAGAGGTCCTTGGCGGATTTAAGTGCTAGTATAAATGTTATGCCATATAAACTGTTTAAGAAACTAGGCCTAGGTGAACCCCGTGCTACTAGGATGAACCTTCAATTAGCTGACCGATCTGTAGTGCATCCTAGGGGCATAGTGGAAGACCTTCTGGTTAAGGTTGGCAAATTCAATTATCCTGTTGATTTTGTGATTTTGGAAATAAATGAGGATGTGAATGTGCCATTGATACTGGGAAGGCCTTTCCTGGCCACCGCCAAGGCCCTCATAGATGTGCATGATGGGACCTTAGTTTTGAGGGATGGTGAGGAGCGAATAGCGTTTTCAATTTCTAATACTCGTCCTGCTTCGTCACCTCTGCATGCTGTATCTCACCAGGAGCACGAGTCTGTCGTGTATCCTTCTGTGTTGCCTATTTTGCAGGATCCGCCTCCCATACCTTCGCCGCCACTACCGTCCACTCCGTCATCGAAGGAACAAATCAGGGAGGAGTGGCGGCCGAAACAGCAGGCAGCTAAGCCTGCTCGAAAGAAAGCCGGAGACCACTATGAGCTGGTCCCGCCCCCACCTTGGCCATCCGAGTATTCACTCGCTTGCATCCTGCCGGATGGCCAAGTTGAGTTGGCAAATGCTGGTGGCCACATTCGGCGTGTGCATGGCCACCATTTGAAGCTGTACCTCAAGAGCGAGGTGGATCCTCTCTTGAAGCCACCTGCTCCTTCACCTTACTAAGCATCCACCGACTGGCGTCCAGCTAAAAGACGGTAAAGAAGCGCTTGTGGGGAGGCAACCCCACCGAGGATTGCATTTTCTTACATTTTTCCTTTTGTTTTTTTTTTTTTTTGTTTTTGAGTCTTGAGATGTTGTTCCAGAGTCGAATGTCATTTTTGGGTGAAAACAGGTTGAATTCGGGGCTCCAGCAGCTCACACGGCCAGGCCATACTCTCTCACGGCCGTGTGGATTTTATCCCCTGGCCGTGTGAGCCCTCGACAAATTCCACACGGCCAAAAGTGCAATTCGCACGGCCGTGTGGATTGGCCTGGCCGTGTGGCCGACACGGGCAACTCGTCTGATCGCACGGCCGTGTGAAATTTTTCCATCGGCCGTGTGAGCCCTTGACAAATTCCACACGGCCAAAAGTGCAATTCGCACGGCCGTGTGGATTTCCTCGGCCTGGTCGTGTCGGCCAACACGGGGCAAACTTGCACCTCGCACGGCCGTGCGAGCCTGCCCGTGTGGCCGAGCCACGGCCTATATATTCGGCCAGCACGGCCGAGTGGTCATAATTTTGAAAAATCCTCTCCGGAATCCTCTGAACCTCGCCGGAAAACCGCGACAAAACCCCCCATTTCGATTTTTTCGGCCATTTTTTGTCATTTTTCCACCAAACCAACAACAAACCCACCCTTCCTACACCAAAAGCGCCCTATCCCTCCATTTTGAGGAGATTTGGCCGACGTTTTTGTCGCCGGAGGCGATTTCCGGCGAGACTCATGCGAGGCTCCGACGAGCACTTCCGGTCACTTTTTCGGCGTTTCGTCGCTTCCATCGCCTTCCCCTCATCATCCCCTACACCTCTACTTGAGTCTCCAGGTTTGATTTTGCCCTTAACTATGTTAATTGTGGAGAATTGGGTGTTAGGGTGCATGTTTAGAGAACCTCATTGAATCTTGTGATTTTTGTGCAATTGGTTGAGGGGAATGCATGGAGTGTGTTTGAATTGTGTTGGGCAAAGTCCCTCTTGATTGTTTGAGCCCTTGTGTGCAAGAATTGTGCCAATTTCATGCTTACCTTAATAGTGCACACAAGGTGTTCGATGAAATGCCTGTTTTTCATGCTATGTTGTGGGCACCGGTTGTGACCCTTATTGATGTGCTTTGAGGGTGTGTTTGCTATGGATGTGAACCTTAAGTTGCCTACTTTATCGTGAATGTGCACCCCCACTCAGATTATGCTTGATTTATCGAGTTTTTGACCCCCGAACTATGGATGAAACCATGGCTCGGCTGTTTTCAGTTCTTAAGTGTGGGGGTGTAATTGACCCTTTCTTTGGCTCTTTTGGTTCCACTTTGGGTTGTTCTTTTGCAGGACAATGTCGAAGCCTGACCTCAAGCACCCGTTCATCCGGGATTTGAAGAGGGGGCCCGCCCAGGATCGCTTCAAGCAGGTCCTGAAATGCCCGTTTGGGCAGCACCATTGCTGGTCCAAACGGGAGTTTCAGGAATTACACTGCTACGAGCAACTCTCCGCCGCCGTCATCAACCAACCATGGCGCCGTCTGCTCTCCATCTGCGAGAAGGTTTACTATGAGCCCGTGCTGGAGTTCTACACGACCTTCAAGCACACACCCACGGACGATTGGAGAGACGGTGCAGCCGTCAAATTCAGGCTAGGCGGTGCCCCATGGTCCATGAGCTACTAAGAGCTGGCCGAGGCTCTCGACCTCGACCTCGACGACGGTCTGGACTATGTCACCGAGGTCAGCGACCCGCCGGAGGTGGACTTCAGGAGGCTGTACACCCGCCTGGCTCGGCCAGGCCAGACATGTCCCTTCTCGGCCGGGAGGACGAAGACCACTACACTGAAGCTCGACAACCGCCTTCTCCACCACCTGCTGGCGAAGTCTTATACTCCAGCTTCAGACAGTGCCAGCGCCATCACTAAGAGGGCCCTGTACCTCATCCAGACGATCCGCTAGGACGACCATCCCCTCCACTTGGGTTCGGTGGTGGCCAGGACCTTCGAGAAGACTGCTTCGGAACTGAAGAGTCTCCACTGCACCCCCCTCATCACCCGCCTGGCCACCTACTTCGGCCTTTCCCTGCAGGGGTGCACATAGCAGGGGCACACCATCGTTTTTGGCAGGTCGACGATCAAGCACATGCACCTGCTGCGAGAGAACCGTGGCATTCTATGGATCGAGGGGTTTCCGGAACCTCAGATCCCTGCGGAGGACCAGCAGGAGGACCAGCCAGAGGTCCAGGAGGATGAGGCTACTGATCATATGGAGCCCGAGGATGTGGACGCTCCTGTTGATCCACCACAGACTCACTTCCATTACGGAGGTGGCAGCTCCGCTTTCCCGGGGCAGGATTACTTCACCTCCCAGTTCGAGCAGCTGCGTCTCCAGAACCAGCAGATCCTCGACCATTAGATGCAGTTCCAGCAGCAGTACGCGGCTCACCAGGCCGGGTACCACCAGAGGATGGCTGTTTACGATGAGAGATTGGACCAGATCCAGACCCAGCAGGGAGTGACTCTCGCACACATCGAGCGAGAGAGGCGCTGTTCACGGCGCATGCAGGAGGTCCAGCAGCATTTACTCCGGCTGATACCGGGCGAGCAGCCAGTTTGGAAGACTCCCTGGGAGGACTCTCCACTTCCACCTCCCCCGCGGATGGTGATGATGGTGCTGCTGGTGATGACGCCTTCATGGACGACATTGACTTTGGTGATCTTGGCGACGAGTAGGCTGTACTCGTTGCCCATCTCAGTGTGTTTTGTTTTCCGTATTAGACTTTTGTGTGTTTGCTCCATGTGTGAGGAGCTTGAACTTAGTGTCGTTTGTTTTTGTTTTTGGTTTTCTTTTGTGGATTGTTTTTGTTGTAGCCGTCTGGGCTAACACTTATCCCTAACACAACGTGTGCTAGTGTGTTCTTGGTGTTCGATTCGTGCAGAACTGTCCATCTTCCCGTTTGTTTCTCGCTGACTGGTCCACTTCCAGTCCCCCAGCAGTTTCAATCCGGTAACATCGTTCCCCTTATCTCTCCCTCTACTCCATTGAGGGCAATGTCGTGCTTAAGTGTGGGGGGTGCTTTGTATCGGTTGGAATATATATTTGGGTGCTTGGAGCCTAGTCCGCTGTCCGAATCTTACGATTTGAGGGCTCCAAGTACTGTTGTTTGATCATATTGGCACTGTGTTTTGATTGGTGAATTGAATGGTTTTCGGATTGATGCATGACAGCTTGATTGCGACTAGGACAACCTATGATGAGGACTGAGACGTGCAGTAGAATTGTGTAGGGGTTCAGTTTTTCAACTGTTTGCTTACCAACTGTGACTTGGATTGATTACTTGTTCTTGACAGTCGTTTTTGCATCTAGTTCAGGGTATCAGAATGTGAGATAGAGCATATAGGTAGCCATGTGAGATTTGAGCCTGCTCGTTTCTTTCTTGTGCGATAGATCCCTCTTCCATGATGTGTAGCATTCACGTTGTCACTAGCTAAGATGATGGGGGCATAGGATTAGCCCACGACCAAATTTGACTCTCCTGATGTGTCATATCCCCTAGTCAGCCCTTTTGAGCCGTGTGTTATCCTTTCTTTTGGTCTGAAATGAAAAAAATCACCCTTTTGCATCTTTTAGAAGGTTCCACAGAGTGGTTTTTTACATATTCTCTGCTGTTTCTGCTAAATTTGATGTGAGTGTTGGAGGTAGTGCTTAAAAGTTGGGCTGGGCATGTGTTTGAAATATGTGCAGAAGTGGTGGCTCTCTTAAGAAATGAAAAGAAAATGAGAAAAAAACCAAAGAAAAATTGAAAGCAAAGAGAGCCACTACCAAAAATCTGAATAATGCCCAGTAAGTAGTGTTTCTTAGCAGTCTGGCTTGGAAATGCTTACATTTATACCTCTTTCGCTCTTGTGCTCTTGAGATATTGAGTAATGCAGAATAGCAGAAAGGAAATACCGGTTTGTTTGACTGTGATTGTGTGGGTTTGGAAATGTGGAACCTTGTGCTATGAATACTTCCACCACCTAAAAGGCCTTTTCCCCATGTCCAAGACCCTAGCCAGTCATTTGAACCTGTGTCTAAGACCTCCTGATTAGTTAGTGGTGACACCCCATATGTGAACTCTAGCATTTAGAGGCTGCCATCATGGTGAAGAGATGTTAGGGATTGAGAGAAATAACATGCGCATTTTTCGCATCAAATTGTCCTGACCCCACTGGTCGAGAGTGAGTGATTCATTTTCATATTCTATATACTCTTGTACCCCGGTGAGGACCTAGATTGCTCGGTCTCTATTATGATGTCTTGAGTTGGATGCATGAGTTGACTGTTTTGAGTAAGTGGTTGAGTCAAGTCTAGGTTGGTTGGTGAACAGAAGAAAGACTCTTCCGGGACATCACACGGCCGTGCAACTCACATTTGTGGCCGTGTGATTTTCGTCGAGAGCAAGCACGGGCAGGATGGAAATCCCGCACGGCCGTGCGACCCTGGCCGTGCGGGAAGCCTGAAGATCGAACTAATTGATACGCCGCGTTTTGACTCGCACGGGCAACTGGGTGAGCCACACGGCCGTGTGGCCTGCCCGTGCGAGTCGGGAAATCTTGGTTTTTCAGCCAATTTCAAGCCACAAGGGGGGAATCGGACTTTTTGAGCAAAAACAGAGCCCTAGAGAGAGAAAGTACAAAGAACACATCCTAGAAGCTATCTTGGAGCTCGGTTTCATCGAATCGAGCTTGGAGATCGTCCTAGGAGTGGAAATCATCATCCCGGAGCAGATTTTCCTCATCTTTATGAGTATGACTACTCCGATTACTGTTTTCTTCTCTCTCTATGGAGTAGAACCCCTCTTTCACTTGGGGATGAAGATCTCTAGTTCTATGTGTTAGGGATTGATTCTAATGACTTGGGATGATATTACTGTTTGATTTTAATCGAATGATGCATGTTTATTGAGTCAATTGAAGTCTGATCAACTTTTCCTGATTCCTGCTGCAATCTGAGATAGATATAATTTGATTAGGTTGCTAGAGTTTCATCATTCGGTAGTAGGAGATTGGCTATACGAGAGTTAGTCAGTTTACTGCTTTGTACTAGAATCTAATTCCAGTAGTGGAGTTCTGTTCTTACTGCTTCAGCTTTCTATCCCGGTGAAGACTAGTCGTCTGCCAGGTAGTTAGATTGAGAGGGCTTGGTCAGCTTAAGAGATTCCAAGTTACTGTCGGATCTTCCGCAGTCTAATCAACAGAAAATCAACCCAGGTAATTGCAATTGAACCTAACTAAGGAGCTAGGGGGACTCATTCCCGAGTGACTCTTACCTGCTTGAGAAAACCGTACCAATTCCTGCTTTCTTTCTGCTTTTGCTTTTAAACAACAATCACTTACTTTAGTTGGCTAGATAATAGATAATCACTGAGTAAGCAGTAGATCTAGACCCCGGGTTGATAATATCACTTGTCACTTTACTGCATTCCCGGTCTGCGATTACACTTGGTCGCAGATTGGTGTTGTGTTTTAGCGTGACATTTATGCTGATGATTTTGTATATTTTGCAAATTGTGGGCTTGACTCTTTATATGCCTTATGATGGTTCGAAAAGGTGATTGGGTATGATTTTTCATAATTGTTGTATTTGGATGCACATGTGGGAAAATATATATTCCCTGGTGATATTATGACGTT